ATCACTAGTAAGGCAGTCGTTCTATGAACACGTTGGAATGCCTTACTTATATGGACAATTCAGCGCACTAGTAGCATATGGACTAAATGCTGGAAGGACACGTCGTCTTAAGAGGTGCACATGATGCCCGCAGGCTTTCAACGTGATCAACGGGGGCAGTCACGCCGGGAACAAGCTGGCCATGCAGGAGTTCATGATCCTGCCGGTGGGCGCCGCCAACTTCCACGAGGCCATGAGGATCGGCGCCGAGGTGAGGTGGCCGTCCGCCCGCACGTAGCGGCGTTTGCCACGGCGCCGCTATTTTAATGGCCCCCCCTTGTCTCTCCTTCAGGTCTACCACAACCTGAAGAACGTTATCAAGGCCAAATATGGCAAGGACGCCACCAATGTGGGTGATGAGGGAGGTTTTGCGCCCAACATCCTGGAGAACAACGAAGGTGAGATGCCAGAGCCACATTTATGATAACCCCGCTTGGGGTGTGTCGGCCATATTGAATGTGGCAAATCTGCCATGGAAACTCACTCCTATACTAGTTTGTGTGTGTGTGTGTGTGTGTGTGTGGGCGTGCGTCGAGTAATGCCCGCACAAATACAACAGCACATCAATCACAAGGCAAAAAAGGCCCATCAGTGCGTGTGTGTGCAATGACGTCAATCTGCTGAAAGGGGGTTGAGACAAAAGGGGGCGGGGTGAACCGTTAGCCGCACCTTTGGGTCGGCACCATGTGAACGTCCTTCGTCCCCCACCCCTCTCACACAGGAAATATTTCACCGTGACGACCCGGTCGCCGCGGCGACACTTTACGAGGGGCGGGATGCGGAGTCTAGGGGTCACCGTGTGGAAAAAAGTGACGATGATGATGATGATGAAGGCAGACCTGTTGGTAACTAATGTCTTTTCCCACAAGAACCCAGATGGAGGCGGGATTGGGAACAAAAATTGTCCAGAGGTCACACACAAAGCAGGGTTGTAATCGTTTTGTTGTTTTTCATTATAGTAACGGTAGTTTTGATTTCATTTTCACTTTTTTTTTCATCATTTAGTTTTAATTACTTTTTAGAGGAGGTTTGTTAGTTACTATTAGTTTTTATTCTTCAAAAAGTTAATTGAGTTTTTTTTTTTTATATACTGTATATTGACACCTTCCTAAAATAACGGCCTACGTAATTTTTTTTTTTTCTTTCAGAAAACACGAAAAACGGAACAAAAAACTGCTTATGTTATTAATAATCTCATTTGAGAGGTAGAATTGAATGATCTGGTTAACTAGTTATTGTTGTGGTGCGCCACAGCTCTGGAGCTGTTGAAGACGGCCATTGAGAAGGCCGGTTACCCGGACAAGATCATCATCGGTATGGATGTGGCGGCATCCGAGTTCTTCCGTGCCGGAAAGTACGACCTGGACTTTAAGTCGCCTGATGACCCTTCCAGACACATCAGCGGAGAGAAGCTCGGCGACTTGTACCGGAGCTTCATCAAGAACTACCCCGGTAAGCTTAAAAAAAAAAAAAAAAAAAAACAGCGAGGTGGCTAACAGCTAGGCGTCTAACCCCTACCTTCTCCATCCAGTCCAGTCCATCGAGGACCCATTTGACCAGGACGACTGGGAGCAGTGGGCCAAGTTCACGTCCTCCGTGGACATCCAGGTGACCGCCGCTGTCTTCCATCATACAGCAACATCCGCCAGTCCGCTCGAGCTAAGACAGTGACCCATCAGATCGTAGGTGACGACCTGACCGTGACCAATCCCAAGAGGATCCAACAGGCAGTGGACAAAAAGGCCTGCAACTGCTTGCTGCTCAAAGTCAACCAGATCGGCTCTGTCACCGAGTCCATTCGGGCGTAAGACATCCGTCTGTCCATATGTGTGTGTGTGTGTGTATGTCTGACATCACCTGTATGTGTGTGTGTGTGTGTGTGTGTGTGTGTGTGTGTGTGTGTGTGTGTGTGTGTGTATGGCAGGTGCAAGCTGGCTCAGAGCAGCGGCTGGGGCGTGATGGTCAGCCATCGTTCCGGCGAGACCGAGGACACGTTCATCTCCGACTTGGTGGTCGGACTGTGCACTGGACAGGTAACACACAAAACACGCAAAAAAGTGCAAAGATGGAATTCTTAAGGGCTTCACATCTTGCGTTTTGTTCAAATTAAATAACATCGTTACCTACTATCTGTGCTGCAGATCAAGACCGGCGCCCCCTGCAGGTCCGAGCGTTTGGCCAAATACAATCAGCTGATGAGGTAAACACTTCCTGGTTTATGTTTTGGTTTACTTCCTTGCGCCCATCCTCCCACTCTCTGCCGTGAACCCCCCCACAGGATCGAGGAGGAGCTGGGCGACAAGGCCAAGTTCGCTGGGAAGGACTTCCGCCACCCCAAGATCCACTAAGGCCCCCCAGGCGCTGTTTTCTACAGAAGACAAAAGAACAATAACAACAATAAAAACAATGAAAAACAACAATCTAACGGGACCAAGTCAATAACCCACATACACAACCACACGCCTCTGTGACGTCAAGGTGGACGTTTGGGAGAAAGCAGCCGGTTGCCCGGCGATGAGAGGCGGCCATGTGACAAGACATCATCAAAGACAAAACCCGTTGCCACCAACGTCCTCGTCCGAGTGTATGTGGAAAGAGAGCGAGGGAGGAAGGCAGTGAGAGAGGAAAGAGAGAAAGACAGAGGAAGAGCGAAAGATGGGAAAAGAGGGAGGGTGGGAAACCAAGGGAAGCGATTAATATATAAAGGTGGGAATGAGAGAGAATGAGGAACTGGGGAAGGACAGAAAGGGACAAATGGAGACTGACATTTTGTTATGTTGGTATGTTTTGCATTAGTCCCAAACTAATTTTTTAATCCTCAAAATTCTACACAAACACCCAAAAATGAAATCCTTTTTTTTCCCTCACTGAAACTTTCTATTATATATTTTTGAATATGATGCCACAAGCTGGGCACACCGAACATCTCCCTCATTCTCTTCAAAAGTATTGGAACGGGAAGATCATTTCCTTTTTTTTTGTTTGCAAACTGAAGAAGTTTCAGATCAAAAGAGGAGCATGAGACAAAAGTTGAGGACTTTACTTTCATGGTATTTACATCTAGGTGTGTGAAACAACTTTTATTATCAAGTGAGCAAAAGTATTGGAATATGTAACTAATGGATCTTTCGACTGACATTAGCTAGTGTTCGTTTTTGGCTTTGGGTGTCACTCATGAAAACTGCATTTGCTGTTACGCAATAATGGAGACCAGCGAGCGGTCTATGGGAGAAAAGCCAATTTCGAAACTGAGAAAAGCGGGAAAATCAATCACAGCTATTGGACAAACATAATACAATTTGAAATGTCCTGAAAAAGAAAGAGACTACCGGTGTACTGTGCAATTGATATCCAACAGGTTGGCCAAGGGTATCTACAGCATTTAATGGCAGAAACAGTGAGAGAGGTGAATAGAAACACCCAAACAAAACAATCGGTGACATCACTGGTAACCTCCACAGGGCAGGGGGGCCAATTTATCAAGACAGTTGTGCGCCATTCCAAATCATGTACAATCAATTCAGCAGGTAAAAATTTAAAGACTGATTTTTTTTTTTTTTGCTAAAAGGTGTTGCGTGTGTGTGTGTGTGTGTATATATATATATATATATATTCCCTTTTT